CTTCGTGTGGACAGGGCCTTAGCTATTTTATATTTAGCTATATAGTTATATATAGCTAAGTCATAATTAGGCGATAATATCTCATAATTCTCACAATCATGAGATATCAAGAGAAACTATGTTATAATGATTAAATCCAAAATTACTGGTGCTTCCATCTGTAGCCATGCTGGATGTCTACATGATCCTCACAGTTGTTGTTTAATGAAGGGTGATTTATGAGATAGCTAGGTTGTTGCTTCTTTTCTTTTTATCAGAATGGTGGAAAAATGGGCTTCCACAAAAAAAAAGGCAATCCGTAAATACAACTTTGAAACTATAAAATTTTCTCCCACAAAGTTAACATTTGATCATTGCTGCACTTTATGGAATGGAAATGTTTATTTAATTTCTGAAAGTTGTACTAAAGAAGTTTCATTTTGTTTACACTCTGTCTATAAAAAAATTAAATTTTTTAAGAGAAATTTAACTTTTTTGTCAGATTTTATATTTTCAAATGATCTTTTTCCCCCCAAGTTTTTCTTTTATTGTTTTGTACTTTTATATTTTTTCACTCCCCCCCCAATTTCTCTTTTTCAAATTGAGTTGTACAAATTGCATCCATTTCTTTCAAATTGAATTTCCCATTGTCTTCACTTTGTGGGTGGGCTTTTCTCTGAACTGAGGAAGCATTTTTATTGATCTGCATGCATCTTGGCAACAACATTCTATTGTTCAGTGTAGGTCAAGAGTGAGCATTTGCAACGGGCCTAAACTGAAGGGAATGTGATCAATATAATGCAACTTGTAAAACTCCATCCAACAAATACAATTTTTAAATAAATATGTTTGGAAAAAATAAAAAGTAACAAACCCCTTTTCTTGATCAAGATATTTTTCTAAGGTTTATTTCTGCATTTATTTTAAAATTTTCATATACAAAACATATTTGTAACAATAGTTGAAATAAAATCACTCCATTTTCATACTAAAAATGTAATCTTAAAGAATGCTTTGGATCTAATGATTTAAAATTGATATTTTTTCTTGGAAAATGTATTTGCATTTACATTTTTCTCTCTCAGATTTTTTTATGCTAGAGACCTTTAGCTGCAGAGAATTCAAACAATTCACCAATTTGAGTTTCTCATAAAGTCAAACTTTTCAATTTTTTGAGTTAAATCAGTTGAGTGTGAATTTTCAAATCAATGCATTTAACTACAAATTTAGTTTTTGATCAAATGATTTAAGGGCACAAAGCTGATCCTCGCTGATTAATTTAAATTCACTACTTCGTTTGGTTTCTTCACAGATTAAAATCCCTCATAATTACAAGAATCTGACATCCAGGATGGGATATAAAATCAAGCTGCTTCTTTTTCTGCTGGTTGTAACAGCTATGGGGGTTCTACTCAGGTCAGAATACACCAACTTGCCTCAACTGATACATCAAAGCATATGGTGCTGTTTTTCTAAAGATAATCTGGTGTTCATTCGTCGAGTTGAGCCATTTCTGTCTGCAAACATCAACATCTCCGAGGATGCTTTTACTTGGTGGAAGGCAAGCCACCTCTTATTTTACATGTATAAAAACCATGTACTGTATGTATATATTTTTTTTTCCAGTTGGGTCACTTGAGTTCATTAATAAACAATGTCTGATCTATGTGGCAGAACATACAGGAAGAGGAACATGACTTCACATACTACAAAGCGACAGTTAAGAAGCTCTTTAAGATATTTCCACCAGTTCCCACCTTTGGAAAATCGAGCACAGGCAGAACCAAGACGTGTGCTGTGGTTGGAAATTCTGTTAATCTGAAAGGATCAGGGTATGGACCTCTGATAGACTTAAATGATGCAATCATAAGGTAAATGTTACATTTTTGTCCTAGAAACATAAGAAGAAAACACCCTGTAACAAACATTTATTTTCCTTTTTTTTCCTGCTGCTCAGAATGAACTATGCTCAGATCCGTGGTTACGAGGCTGATGTTGGGACTAAAACGACTCATCATGTCATGTATCCAGAGAGTGCTGTAAACTTAGATGGCGCCACCCATCTTCTGCTGCTCCCCTTTAAAATACAAGACTTGGAGTGGCTCATCCAGGCTTTTACAACAGGATTCTATGGAAAGTAAGATATATTTAAAGGGCATGGACTGTATTATTATTTCAACATTACCTTTACAGCATTTTTATGCATTGAAAAAAAATTATACATTTAAAAAAACTTTCCAATCCAGTCCAAATATATTTTTTAATCACATAAAACAACCCCCCTGTTTTTGAATATATATATATAAAATATATATAAAATATGTATTGAAAAATAAATAAAACATAAAACAGTACAGATAAAAGACAAAACGGCTAAAACGGTTAAAACTAAGTTCACACAATAAAAAAAATCAAAATAATAACAAAAAATAATAATTACTTCAAAAGGCAGCCAGGCAGACGAGCTCCGTGCCTGTTCCCATGTCAGAGGAC